GCAAAATGGCATATGCTATCCAGCTGGCTGAGGCTGAAGCGCAAAGGGGAAAGACCGAAATGAAAATGAAGATGGCTCCAACTCTTGGTGACGAAGTGGTGAGCGAAGTGTTCAAGGCGGTTGGACACACTGCAGCTTCCAAGTTTACCAAACCACCCGCACAACCTTCGCAGAAACCTGAAGGCACTGGTTCGGCATCATCCTCATCGGCTAGCGCACCAAAAGCCAAAGCTATGCCAAAGTCCCATGAACCATCGAAGGCGCCGCCTGCAAAGCCTTCATCGCCGAAAGCTGCTCCAAAACGTGCGGCACAATGGGAGAAACCTCCATCAGCACCCCAATGGAAGAAAGTCCGCCGTGAGGAGTAAACCAATTGCTTCATGATCACTGGTCTATAAGATGTGTATCGTCTTTGTGAACAGATGATCAGGAAAAGACCAACTGAGTGGACTCTGAGCGAGGCATTGGACTAATTCGCTTAGGTTCAGAACTTTTGATATTCCCAATCTGCACGAGATTCTGCATTGTGCACGTGAATTCGTTAGTTGGCACTGTAAGTCTTTGGTAGCGAGGCGATCCATTTCTCCCGACGGGTGAGTGGTGAGCTTAGCCAACGTAGAAAAGTAGGTGTTAGCTAGCAATAATTCGCGTTGTACAGCTTGATGAAACGCCAATGCATCGACAGCCAAAGAGTAGGTGAACCCTGAACCATTATACCCGACGGGTATGTGGGAAAGGGGGAGCCGAATGGCATCTTTATGTAGATAGGCGTAATTCAAGTAGCAGGACCTCACTAATTCAAAGTTCCCTCTCTCGTGTCCGTGGTTCGAAGATACCACGGGCATGGGGGGTGCTAAAGGGAACGAAGTGGTACGGTAGTTGCATGTGCCGTGTACATGCACATTAATGCATTGGGACGCCAACTTGGCTCAAGACCCCATTGCGAGGAGAAAATAGCGCGCCGTGCTGTCTCATGGTTTGGTAGGTTCGGCTAACAGCACATTGGGAACCACTACCTCAAAGATATCCAGAACAAGGATCGGTTTGTTCACAAAAATATCATTGTAAACACCTTGAAGCAAGAGACATATCAACAGATTCTTCATCATGGATGCAATCTATTCAAGGCCGTGGAGCCGGCACAACAACACAAGGGGGAGGCGCGACGCGCGGTTAAGAAACATGTGCATCAAAGTCAGAATTTCTGATGATTTTAAAGGAAAAAATGTCTGTTTTTTTTTGCTGTGATGTTTCATGAACTCTGGGAAAGAAACCTGATATTTGTTTCCTTTTTTTCCAGGTATTTTGCATTTGTAATTCTGGTGGTTGTGGTGTTTTTTCTTTTGCATTTTTCATTTTTTCTTTTGGCCGGCCCGAACTTCTAATTATATATTATATATGTTCCAATGATGTCATATCGATTCAGAATGTCGATTCATATCAAACAACCTGAATCGAATCCATTCACACCTTAAGTGACCAATCATGTCCAATGATTCAGAATGTGCCACATCACAGATTTCGGGCCTTTCGGATCCTTTCGGAGCACGCAGCATGTGATTCACAAGATCTTGTCGTGTAGCCTGAAACGCAGCCGTGAAACCATCTCTGAGCTGGGGAAGTTTCACCACGGCTTCGCCTCGCCTGAAATGGTGAATTTCATGGGGGAAGGGAGAACATCGATGAAAGAAAGGGTGAAAAGCTGGGGAAAAGGTGATGAAAAACATGGGAAACCTTAAACATCTGGAAAAACCACTGGAAAACGTGGGGGAAATTTTGGGAAACAACAAATTGTGTTTCCTATGATTTTCCCTGTCTTGTGCCAATACCGTAAGTTGCTGTAGGGCACTGCGAGAGCAAACCGGCATGGCGCACTTCCAATACTGCAGATACCCAATTCATCCCAATGCCCAAAGATCATGACGCGGTGCACCTGGTAGGATTTGGCAGACACTACGTGACAACTCCCGGAGAAGTTGCAAGCCGATCCCGGTTGGTGTAGCACGGGCATGGATCACAAGGTCAGGAAACGAAGGGGAAACGAGAAGACGTGGGCAGATTTGTTTGACGAGTTCTAATGTGTTTTGCATGATTGTTGATGTGCATAAGAATCATCAGATGTGTTGCACCTTTGATTGAAAATGGCGAATCCGTTCTTTGTTGTTTCTGTTTTCTTTTGTTTTTGCTTCAAAGACCTTTGCTGAATAAAACTAAAGCTGGATGGACGGAACGACATATTTTTTCGAAATTACAACCCCCGAATTCAGTTCTAAAATTGTGTAATTTTGTGCAACGTCTGACACACCCCTGCATTCTTGTAACATGTTTGATTTAATTCCAGTGCCATGATTTTTCCCACATGAATTTACATGTATACCGCATATACCGCACATGACATGAGCCTTCAACTCAATGGTTAAACCTGGAACTGAAATGGCGGTGGATTCGTTCGGATTGATTCAAAACCTTGACACTCTTGGGGAGATCCTATATCATGTGCTCAACTGTTTGGGAGGGCGCGCGTCGCACACTTCGATCGAACAAAAAAATAGGACTGAAACTGGCACTCTTTGGTATTCAACTCACATGACACACAACATTTTTTCTAAATAGTTGTACACATTTTGCGCATGGCAGATGACATGAGCAATAATGAATTTGGATCTACCTTTCAATACTCCCATGTTATCAGAAAGTAGTAAAATTAAAAAGATGAGGTTTTGATCCATTGGATTGTTTTTTTACCCCAGCATTTCTTTTTTACCAAACCCAGATTCTGATTCGGATCAACATTTTGTTTCCAGGACCTCCAAAAGACTGTTTTTCTGTCGTGTTTCGAGCCCTTGCGTCAGGAAGAACAACTTCCCGTTTGAGGTGAGGCATTTTGTTTGAAATTTACTCACTTGCCGGAAATTGCAAAATGATTTTGGCAATGATCCTACTAATGTGATGCTCTTCTTGTTGCCATTGCTTTGGAAACACTTGTGTTACTTATTATGTCAATGTGTTGGAAAGAAAACTGTACAGATTCAGATGCACGTGGGTGTGTTTGAAAGTGGTGACATGGATTTCCTACCACAATAGGCATAAATTAGTGATCAGTGGAGACAATGACAAAGATGATAATTAAGCCAACGGATTTTGAGGCTTTCCCAACCAGGTACCACCACACAAACAGAATAGGTTCGGCACACTCAAGACACTCATTGTGGTGGCCTCCATGGTGTCGTGACATCCACTGTCCAAATATTGCAGGTTTGAATAGGACCCCTTGGATTCCTTGGATCTAATAGATTTTGAGAGCTGTGATGTGTTACATGTTGTTTTTTTTTGGTTTGGGTTTTGTTTGCATCGAACTCGGACTGTTCACCCTGGTACCAGTAAAGTAAACTCTCGTACGTTTCGGCCATGTTGCAACCACTGGACCGTGGTCAGAGCAGTCAATTTGCCATTCGTCTCGCATGTAATTCTGATTACTGTTCTGATGGATGTCAACTTAGCTATGCTCTTTGAACCCAGCAACGAACCACTGGTTTGCAGATGTTCCCCCACGTACTCGTTGTTTGGCCTCTTAGGTTGGAATTTCTAGCAACATTTGCCCCCCATTTTGCCAGGCCTAGGCTTCCCATCGCATCAAGATTGCATGGCGGTGCTATATAAGGTAAGTTGGTCATGGTCTCTTTGTTGAGGGATATGACCTGGTGGTGAAGTTGGAGGGTTGTTAGCCAGTATGGTATTACACACACATATATATGAGCCCGGTCCCCGGACCCCCACACCCCCCCCCTCCTCCCTGTGATTTATTTTTGTTTACGTGTCTACACAATGCTGTCATGCATGTTGACATGTATACATAATTCATATCTTTCATGCGCACTCCGCATGGCTCAAGACTAGCAGAATCTGCTTGACTCAGGTGTTTGTACATAATGCAGGGCTCCCCTAATAGAGGGATAGCTACCTCAAAGTGGTAGCGGAGCCTGTGCCTTCGCCAAGTCTAGATCCGTGTGCCGAACTGCCGTTCTCTGCATACATTCCGTATATCGGACTTGCGGAGGCAACCTGTAGGTCAAGTTAGAGTAGCTGCCATGGTCTTAATCCACAACATGGATTCAGATGAAGAACAATTCCAGATTGTCTCTTATGAAGAGCCTGAAGCATATGCCGCCACCAGTCATTCCGAAAACCGGATGGGCATCAAAATGACACCGAAGGTTCCACCCCAATTTGATGGCCAATCAAGCTGGTTTGAATATGAAGATTTAATTGATGACTGGTTAGGGATTACAACATTGGATGCAGATAAACACGGACCATCATTAAAGAATGCCCTCATTGGTTCCGCTTCTTTTTATAAGTCGATGCTCGATAATGCCTTACTCCGAGATCCGGATCGTGGCCTCGCTCATTTCAAGGACACATTGAAACCATACTTCGTGAAGGGAGTAAATCATGTGTTCCTTTGGCGATTCCTCCAGATGTTTCGCACATATCGAGGCCAGAGTGAATTCGTGCACTGGATAGGGCGATTTAAGATCGCGCAGAAGCGTTTGTTGGCTTCTTGGTCTGATCTGCTGGACATATCCGATCTTCCCGAAGCAGGCACTCAGGCATTTACGGCAGCACTCACAGATGAGCAAAGACTGCACTATAACCAGATAGTAACAGATGAAGATAAGCTAGCTTATCAACAAGAACTGAGAGAACAGACCATAACCAATAGAAGGACCAGACATGCACAGCAGTTTCCATTGTCAGACAATTTGATGTCACTGATTTTTCTAGTGCAAGCAGACCTCAACGAGCAACAACGAGAGCGTTTTGTCTCGTCTATGAACATCCGTCAGATCGCAATGCCTCAATATACCTATCTCCAAGTGAAACAGCTGTTCTTAGAACTTTTTGCCGTTTCTCGCACAGGTGTTGCAGACCCAAACATCACGCACCGCAAGCGGTCCAACTTCTACGTCATCGACGAGGGCGATTCGGTCGTCTATCGCATGTGGGCTTCTGTCAGGGCAACCCAACTTTGCTCTTGGCAGGAGTCTTGGGCGCATCCGACACAGTTTGGCTATCGTCGTGGCAAGCGTAGTGTTGACCCTGCTTGGTGTTCTGCTGCTGCTGCTGAGCATGCCTGGCTATCACAGGCCCATCGCGTTGGGTTTTCCTTGGACCTGGCAAAAGCATATGATCGCATTCCGCATGAGATCCTCTACAAGTGTTTGATTGCTTCTGGTCTTCCGGTCAACTTTTGCAATACTTGGCTTTCGGCAATTCGTGGTGCTCGCAAATACTTGAAGTCGGCTTACGGCTTGGGTCGGTCTTTCCATGTCACCCGTGGTCTTCCCCAAGGTGATGCGTTAGCGTGTTTTGGCATGAACCTCATCATGTCCATCTGGTCCCGTGCTGTGGAATCTGAATCTGATGTCTTTGTCCGTAGCTTTGCTGATGATGCAACAGTCGAAGTTGAGCGACCTGACCCGTCCATTGCAGTCGCCCAGCTGCAGAAGGCTATCTCGGTTACTGAAGAGTTCACAACCCTGAGTGGCCAAAAACCAAATGTTGGCAAATGTCATGTGTGGTCCACCTCTCGCAAGGGTCGCAAAGCGCTTCGTGGTTTGAAGATGCTTGGTAAACCTTTAGTGCAAAAGTGGCATGCAAAAGACCTTGGCTGCCAAACCCTGTTCTGTGGTCCTGCTCGTTCAACTTTCTTGCAAGCCCGTTTTGCAAAAGCCCGCAAGACGGCCAAGCGTGTGCAGTGTGCTCCGTTGAGGCTTGAAGATAAAGTGCAGTTGGTTACTGGAGCTGCGTCCAGTCTGGCCAACTATGGTCTTGAAACTTGTTTCATTGGTGAAAGTGCACTTGCTCGTGTCCGCAGTGCTGTAGTCATGGCCATCTGGAATCATCGCAGACGGTTTCGTTCGTCGCATGCAGTGCTGTTGCTCTTCACTCAGTCGCACTTGACCGACCCTTTCCATGCCCAGGTGTATCAATGTCTTACAACCTTGAAACGCTGCCTGTCTCAAAATCCAGCAGCGCGTGCTATTTGGGAACCTTGGTGGTTGAAAGCTTCTGGTCGTGACCCTCGTCGTCCTCGTGGCCCCGTCACCTTGTTGTGCAATGTGGTTCGTCGTATCAAGTGGTCCTGGGTATCTGCTTGGACTCTTCGAACTCATCAGTACATTGACCTTGACCTTCTAAATACAGACTCTGACTTGTTTGCGCATCATGTTCGTGAAGCTTGTCGTGTGCATGGTTGGCAGCAGGCACTTGGTCTTCACAAGCACTTTGAAGGAGCCCAATGTGGTGTTGATCGCTCGGCCTCTGTTCACTTGTCTGAGCAGAGCTTTCTGTCGACTCATGATTGTCGTCTCCTTCGCTCAATCTTGACGGACGCTGTGTGGACTGCTTCGCGCTTGTATCATGCTGGTCGACTCCAGACCTCGGCGTGTCCTTGTGGTCATGACCACCAAGACACGGAGCATTTCTTTTGGTTGTGCCCTCACTTACAGGACATACAAAGCAGGCATGGTCGCCTTGTTTCTTTGCGTGCCGACACTGGCCCCTGGCCGTCTTGTTTGGAGCTGTGTGGTCTTGTGCCCTTGAATTTCGAGATCCCAGGTTACAATCACATTCAACTGGCTCATTTAGTGCAAGCTTACCTGCTTGATGTGGTGCGTCGCTCATGGGATTTGGGTTGGCCGAATTCAGATGACAAACCGCAAGAGGAGAGTCAATCCTCTGCTTTGCCTGTGGAACCCTTGCTTTTGAAGCTTCCGTTGGAACCACCCAAACTGTCATCTACCACTTTTCCTTGGCCTGAACAGTTCTGTGTGGATTTGCTTAGCTTCCTGAAGACCTTGACATGGCCCAAGCAGCCGACCCCTAACGGCATTTCGTGGGCAGAGTTGGTGGTGAATTTTGAGATTGTTACTGGCAAGGCACTTCCTCGCAACCCTGGTCGAAGTCGTGCTAGACACTTGCGTACATATGGTGAGGCAGCTGTGCCCCTGCTTGAGGCTCCTGACAATCTTTACAAGAAAGTTTTGACCCTGTCCAGTGCTTGTCGTTCCTTTGCGCGCCTGATCGGTGCACCTGTGGTTGTGGGCCGAGAGACTCGAAATGTTTGTATTCCTGGTTTGCCGGGAAAGCACAGATACCGTGGCTTGGATCGTCGCCCAGTGATGACCATGGATGCAGAGACTTCTGAAGCCATTCGTGCGTGTTTGCATGACAGGATCGCGGTTGAGATCAATGTTTCCTCGGCAGATATCACTGCTGGTCAGACTGGTGCTGCAAATCCGGTTGAGTTGGCATACAAAAAAGTGCATCCGCTCAAGTGGAACACACCTGTTGCTTCTGATGTAGCCACATCCGAGGCTGCTGGGGAACCTGTTCCACCTAAGAACAAGTGTGAGGATCCGAAACCTGTAAAAGACACAAAGACTTCAGACAATGACACCCATGATGCTACTAAGGTTGGAAACCGCTGGACATGTCGAAAGTGCCCTTGCACTTCTACTGCATCTAACAGTACGCGCTTCAAACAGGCACGGTGCCTAGGTGACCTTTGTCATAACTTTGAGTTCAAGGCGGGATCTTTCACGTGCAGCAAGTGTGGAGAAGTGGCAAACAACCAAAAACAGGTGAATGGGAAGCTCAGTCACGCTTGTCCGGGCAAATCAAATCCTTCTTCAGAGGTGAGCAAAAAGACAGCCAAAAAGCCAAAATCACTTGATAACATTTCACATGATGTTCATGATGTTTATAAAGGTGATAATTGTTTTCTCTGCAAGAAATGTCCGGCTAGCTGCAGCATTTCCAATAGTGGTCGTTTTCGGCGTGTGGAGTGTTTCGGTGACCGAGCTCATGATTTCGGTTCCCAACGCAAAGGCCTTTTCAAATGTAGCAAGTGTGGTGAGACTGCAGCCAATGTGAAGCAAATGAATGGCAAACTTTCTTTTGCGTGTCCTGGACCATCGAAGTGTGAGGCAAGTTTTGTGCATGACATTCCTGCCAAGCCCGATTCCAAGGGAAACTATGTGTGTAAGCGGTGCAAACGAAGTTCAGTGAAAAGTAGCGTTGCTCGGTTTGCCAAGACTCTTTGCTATGGCTCACATGCTACCAATCGAAGTGATGCGATTCGTGCCAGTCGCTGTGCTGCTGGTTTGTCCTCCAAAGGACTACCTGACCATGTTGCACCGCGATTGCAGGCTTTGCGAAAGTCCAAAGTCAACATGGAGCCTGAGTAAGGCTCCGCCAAATGGTGCTCGTATGCTATGTTCTAAGCTACGACCACGTTATCCAGATCAACGACGTCATCGACGAGGGCGAGACCGAGGAAGGTGAGTACGGATTTTGGGTCTTTGATGAAGAGACGGGTGAAGAAGGTTTCACAGGTCTGTACACGGAGAACGAGTTCTGGGTTCTCAGCGCCAAGGGTTCATACTCTAAGCGCCGTATCTACGGCAGGTCCTTCAAGAAAGGTAGACCAAAAGGTTATGGCAAGAAAGGAGGAAAAAGATCAAGACCCGGCTTCCGCTCGAGGTCAAAAGGCAAAGGTTTTGCAGCATGGGAAGATGACCAGCAAGACACAGCTTTCTGGGGAAAAGGCAAGGGCAAAGGAAAAGGTAAAAAGGGCAAGAAAGGAATGATGAAAGGAAAGGATTCTTTCAAAGGAATGCCTTCATGGAAAGGAAAAGGAAAAGGTGATGCGAAGAACAAAGGAGGAAACAATCCATTTTTGTCACAACCTCCACAAGCTAATGTCGCACAGGCTGCAACATCCAGTGCATCACAAGCCCCTGAAAAACAAGAAGCAGCCCATGCCGAAGAAAGCTGGAGTTATGACTATGACACCTACTGGACAGATGACTGGTCAGGTTATGAATCCTACTATGGATATGATGGAGATTACTCCCAAGGTGATTGGTACAATTGGTCATATTTTGCTTCCACTGAGGAACTGACCGAATCTGAGGACAAGCATTCAGACGTCATTTTTGAGGACGGACAGACCGACAAGATCAACCGGTGCTGTTTTTCAGGCATCCGCTTGTTCCGATTGTTCGGACACGAACTTGTAGAGGCCCTCACATTCGTGCTTCTGTTCGTGTCTGTGATGTACCAGTGCTTTTCTGATTTGAACAGGTCGCTATTCAAGAGCATCCGCCAAGTTGAGAAGAGTGTTTCTACCGAAAACGGTGATCTGCATTCGTTTCAGCCGCGCACAAGCCCGCTCAATTCCGTCTCAACGGAAGAGTGTGTATTTCTCAATTATGATCATGGTGCCCAACAAGCATTGCTTTGTGAGTACATAGATCTAGGTTCTCATCCGACATATGTCATCCTTGACTCAGGTTGCACTCGAGCCATGGGATCCCGCTTTGCCATTGATCGCCTTGTACAGGCCTGCCAACAACATCCTAAGCGTGATCACATTTGGTTTTCTAAGCAACCGTGTTCAAGTAAGTTTTCATTTGCCAATGGAGAACAATCTACTGTCAAGGAAAGATTAGTGATTCATTTTCGCAATGATCGTGCACAAACTGGTTGGATCACAACATGCGTTGACATCCTGGACAAAGGTAAGGTTCCTATCCTCTTTTCAGTTGAACAAATGAGGAATCTTCGCATGAACATTGAACATACTCCTGTAGGTGAGTTCATGACTTGTCCACTGTTTGGAATGCAGCGCACCGCATTGGCGGTCAGTACATCCAACCATCCAGTCCTTGACATTATGGCTCTTGCTACTTCCAGTTGGAAACCGATGTACAGCTTTCAGTCCGAAGACATCACATGCCCAGCATGCAATGGTAAACATCGACCTCACACAAACAAGGAAGGTTGCAAGAGATTCAAAGGATCAGAGCCTAAGCCTGCAGAGGTGCCGAAACCGGCCAAGCCTGATTCTAAGAAGATTGTCAAGAAGATAATTCAGCCTGATAGCAAGTTAGAAGTACCAGCTCAACCTTTTGATCCTGATGAAGAGCCAATGGTGGCCTCTGGACCAAGTTCCGGTTCAAAGGACGGTATCCCAAGACGTCCGGAACCTCAGATTGAAGAAGAACCTGAAGTCAAACCGGAACCAAAGGTTGAAGTAAAACTTGAAGAGAAGAAAGAACCGTCACCTAAGGGAACTTTGTCACTAGCACTTCAGAGAATTCATGATAAGCTTCAATCACCCACTGAACTTCTCAAGTTGCACTTGCAGCATTATCACATGACCACTGAACAATTCAAGAGAAGAACATCGGCTCTGAAGCTACCAAAAGAAATTTATGACAAGTTTGATCAGATTACCAAATCATGTGACACATGTTCCACTGCCAGGATTGCACCATCGAGAGCTAAGGTTTCAGGAATCCGAAGTGAAGTCTTTGGTGAACTTACTTTCATTGATCATGGAGAAGTTCCTATCAATCCTCAGTCAAAACTTCAATTCCTACTTATGTATGACGGTGCAACTTCATTGACTACTGCCTTTGTCGTTCAAAACAGATCTGATACGGTGACGATATCTCATCTTCAAGAATACTTTGAAACTTATCAGCTGAATCCAAAATACATTGTTGCCGATCAAGCTTTCATGGGCACTGAGATGGAGAGTTATTACAACCGGCACAGCATCAGGCCAATCTCTCTAGGACCAGGAACACCATGGCCAAATCGAGCTGAAGCAGCCATTCGCATGTTTAAGAAACAGGTCTCATTAATGCTAATTTCCTTGAAAGATGATCCATTGCTTGCCAACATTACTTATAAACAGTTGTTGAGACAAGCCTGCATTTCAAGGAACACCATGGTAACACTCGGTGGTGTCACTCCTATTGAATTAGCATTTGGAAGAAGACCTGCCGATCTTACGGCGATTGAGTTCATGAATCCAGCACAGCTCACGACTGAGGCCCCTGCTCCTGAGAGACAGATTGAAGCACTAAGGTCACTGGCGATGCGAAAGTTTCTAGAGGCAAAACAGTCTGATGACCTTCGAAGAGACATAGCAAGTAAACTTCAACTTAGTGATGGACCATTCTTTCCTGGAGATAAAGTTTACTATTGGACCGAAGACAAATCAAAAATCAAATCAGACGGTTCACATGGAGGAAAATGGATAAAAGGAAAGTTGGTTTCCGTAGATGGCAGCATGGTTGGAGTTGACTTAGGAACCAGAATCGTGAAGGTCAACATCAGTAAAATAAGAAAAGACCATAATCCTATTGAGGATATTGACATTCCTTTAGAACCAATTGCACTTGCCAGTGCCGACTTTTCGGCCAAAGCTGCCGCCGGTGCCGAATCTTCGGCCAAGGGCGCCTGTACAGCAGTGAAGTCCACATGCCGCTCAGATGACCATGCAAATAACATCATAGAACACGATGCCATTCAGTCAGGTCCTGAAGGTATTACATATGGTTGTTATACATGGGAGCCAGCTATGACCGGAAAATTAGATTTCCTTGAGCTGTTTAGCGGCTCTGCCAAGCTTAGTCAAGCGGCAGCAATGCAAGGGCTTCGAGTTGGCGCTCCAATTGACCTGCGCACAGGTTACGACTTGCTCACTGCCGAAGGCCGGCGAAAGGCAATGGAAGTCATTGAGCGACAACAGCCAAAAATCATCCACGTGGCACCTGTTTGTGGACCATGGAGTCAAATGCAGAATATTAATGATCCCGCTGATACTTATCAAAAAAGGAAAAAGTATCTTCCCATGGTAGAGTTTTGTGCTAGAGTCGCTCTTTATCAGATTGAACATGGTAGATTTTTCATCATTGAAAATCCTGCGACTTCCAAGATTTGGTTTACCAAACGCTTTCAACGCCTTCTCATGAAGCATACCGTAACCTATGGAACATTAGATATGTGCGCCTTTGGTATGAGAGACCCAAATGGATACTATTACTACAAACCAACATCCTTACTTCACAATTTTCCTGAGGGAGTCTTGAATCCAGTTTTCAAGAGATGTAATAGTAAATCCAAAAATGATCCAAAACATTATCATCAACCATTGGAAGGTAGTGCTCCAGGATATGGATCAAGAACAAAGTTGGCACAAGTTTATCCATACCGATTCTGTAGCACTTTGATCAGATGCATCCTTCCATTAGGAAATTCACGGGCTCTCTATCCATCGCAGCTGTCACTCGCAGTAGACCTGCTGGAAGACTTGAATCTCGATGAATTGCGAGGAGTGCAAAATCAGCTTGCCGCTCTTACGGCATCCGAGCATCCGGTGTTGGCAACTGACTTGTACGAACAGGGTCTTCCAGTACGTGACTATTACGCGAAACGCCTGCTCAACCGCATAAATGCTCTACCCGCTGGTAATGTTTATCATCCTGTTCAGATCGAAGCACAACAAGATGTCTCACATGTCAGACAGATGTATTTAAGTACATCCATGTTTGACAATGCAATCATTTTTCGTGGTAGTTTTCAGTCATTGCGAGTTGAATACCGCCACACACACGGCGTACTCTTACTTTGGAAGAAGAAAGATGCGTCTCACGTTTTTCTGCGCGTACATCCTAGAGATATGTCGCAGTTGATTGCTAGCCATTGGTCAGCAATATTGTTTTGGAACAATGATGGAAGTATCCCTACAGATAATACTGATGACATTCCTGAACAGAACACCAACATCGACCCTCCACCGGGTCTTCCACCTCAGCAGAACAACAACCAAGATGATGATCATCCGCCTGAACATCCTAACACACCACCTTCATCACCACACCTTCCAGATGTTCCCATGCCTGACGAACCGCACACGCCGCATCCCGGCTTTCCTCCTGATGATGATCAGTTTCACACACCATTTCATTCACCACCAAGACCAAGTGATGATGTACCGGACGATGAGATGCATTCGCCACAAGATGATTCACCAGATCCACCACCTCATCCATCATCACCACCTGATCATCCTCAACCACCATTTCCTGGAGCCACTGGCATCCCTGTTGCTCCAGATACAATTATTGTGCCCAATACCATCATACCACCAAACATTGACGACACACCAATGACACAGAGCACCAAGCGTCCACCAGGTGATCCACCGATACCACCTGCAACTAAGGCTCGACCATCTAGACAAATGCCTCCTGCGTCTTCAACCGAATTTCAGCCTAGTAACCATTTGGGGGGTGATACACAGCCATCAGTCACACCAAACGCGACCACACAACCCGCCGTAGTCGCTCCAAGCACTTCGAAACCGAAGAAACCCAAGCATGATCTTGTG